AGCTCACACTGGTTTGCACCTGGCAGGAAAATACACACACTATCACAATCTGGAGGTACTGTGTTTTGCCAGATGCCATTTTGTGCTCATTACCAAAAAGCTCCAGGGTATTCCAAGGCTTGCAGAAAGATCATGTTTTGGTTCCATGTCCAGAAAAGAGGGTTTTGTTGCTGGTTTTTTAGCATAGTCTCAATTTTTTTTCAGCTTGCTTAGTGGGGATGTGAAAAATCTCTGAGCATATGGGGATTTCAAATTTATCTTGATATAATCTGTGAAGTCAGGACTATTTTCTGATCCAGATGGAAGCTAGAAAGGGTTACAAAAGACTATTGAAATCAAGCTTTTGTATCTCAACAAGGCACAAAAACATCTGTTCTTTGTTGGCCAAGACACAGTTAATAAACATTATTATTAGGTAAGCATCCTATTGTGCCTGTCATCATACATGTCAGTCTCTGCATAAATTAGGACTCTAAACCCAACAGCAGGGAAAGAATTAATTTCTGAGAAGCATGGGCCAAAATAGTGTTTATGCCTGTCAACCACTACCACAATCTCACATTATTCTTTTACTCAGGTTTAAAGAAAAAACACCCAGCAAGCTTAAAATAATTTAGAAACATTTCTATATTGTCAGCATCTCAAATTTTGCTCAGACACTCTAGTTTAAAAAAAGTAATAAAGATAAGGTTTTGCCGCATACAGTTGAAGGGAAATTTATGGGACTAATCCTCTGCATATTCTGAAAGTCTCATCCTCAGTACACACAAGCTGTTACTAACAGATTATTCAACCCCAGAAGGTAAAGACCTAAGTGAATATTCACAGATACCCTTGACTATCCTGGATCTGCAGAGGTTACAAGACCTTTGACTGGCTAACAAAGGAAGAGCACTAGCAATAAACCACCACAAAGGTTCTTTTGTGAGATTAGGATCACTTAATTCAGACCTGTACGTGACACAGGAAAGTACAGCAGAAAATGAGTTACTTTTCTTTTCAGTACAGAGCAGGGCACTATAAAAGCAGCTTTTACATCTATTTAAAGATCTCAGGGTTTCTTCTGACACAGCAGCAGAATGAAGCTTAAAAGAGGCCCTTTGTACAGTCATTTGTCGGTCCAGGTGGCCTGGCCATGCAATGATTCTGCAACATTTTTTCTCAGGCTGCCCCTTCCTTCTCCGCTAACGTTTCAATTCACGTTTGAGGCTCAATGACATAGCACTTGCCTACCAGTGCTTCCCCAGTTTGCTTTTTAGACCTTTGATTTTGGAAATTGTTAACCCATTTGAAAGATCACACTCCTGCAGTAGCTTTTGCTTTCATGTTTGTCTAAGAATATTGTGTTTCTTAATGTAGTACCTTGGGTAAGGCAAGGACGTACCATAAACTACATAATTCTATTACCTGAGCGACTTCCTGAATGAAATAAATCCCAGTAACTGCTTGCATATACTGAGGATACTAAGCTTCAAGCTTCAAACTCGTGCCTTTGACTGTTTTCCAGGAAGGCAAAGCTTCTTTCAAACCTGTTGTTTCCTGATGGCAGCATTTACCCAGGAAGCAGGAAATGTAAATTCTAGGATCACACCGACCAGCTGATCTCTCAGGACCCAGATAAAAGTTCAAAAACTGGGTCTCTTCACACCTCATTCTGCTGGAGCTGGGTTACTATGAAGAGGGAAGGCAGATTCAGAGGGCTAAAAAAGGAAAAAGAAAAAAAGAGAAGTTTCTCTCCATACAGGTTGCTGAGGTTTAGTAACTCTTGTTTTACAAACTTCAATCCCCATGACACTGCTTTAGACACTTCCAAGGATTTACGATGCTCGAGGACTGGTCCTTCAGTCCTGGAGGTGTTGGATCCTAAGATCTGATTATTTAGGGAAAATTCAGACAGTTTGAACACATCCCAAAGTTACCTCTTTGGTTACTGTTCTATACAAAATGAACCAAAGCCATCAAAGTGGCACTCAGAACTCCTCTCACTAGCAATTACGGGGACTGGGACACTGGAGTCACCACTCCTCAGTTTTAGAGCAAAGAATACCTTCTCATACAAAGCAATCTTGGTTTTGGGAACTTGTACACTCCTTTGGTTCCTTTCATTATGTGAAATTAGACCAGTTTCAACTTCATTCATTTCAAATTTGAACCATCTCACACTTCTCCGCAGATGAAGTGTTTCGTACCTCTTCTTTGTATTCTGTCTTGATGCCTGTTCGCTCTCTGTATTTACTGCTTGTGTTGGTCCAGTCTTCATGTTCTGCCGCTGAGGAAAGCAGAGCCCATGTACCTTGCAGGCTGCAGCCACTTGACCAAGTCTGTGCTAATATTTCAGCAAGGGTGGTAGCCAGCAGAAAGATTTTGAGGAGTCTTGAAACCTATGGACTGCTCCAGGGCAGGAATTGCCGACACACTGCGATACTGGCACTTGTGGCTTTTCAGTGCCTCAGGGGGCAAAATATTTCCCTCTTCAAGGGATCCCCAAGGTTGGGAATACCTCTCTCCCTCCACTGCACACTCCCTTTATGAGAAATACCTCTTCTCCCTCTGGGCAGGTTTTCATAGTCCCCCTACTTCTCCTTCTGTCTTGCACAGGTCTGAAGCAGCATCTATCTGGGGGAACAGAGCTGGTGCTCCCAGAAAACAAACTCTCTCTTCCTGATTTTATACTAAAAAGCTGATTCTAATATTGTCTTCTGCCTTAGAGAACCTCAAGATATACCATTACTGGAGAATGATATTTCTGATCTGCTTCTCACACATCATATTCCCTCTGCATACTTTTCCCTGGCCTTGCAAGGAAGAACTTCCCGTAAGTTTTTTGATCATGAGCTACTGCAAAAGCCCCTTAGGTTACCACAGTCAGCTGCAGTTACAGAAATGACGTGACTCTCAGAGTACTTGAACAACACAGGCAGAGTTCCTATTTGCAGAATAACCACCAGCAGCTGTAATACCTTCTAGCTGAGGGGGATGCTCAATGGAGGACTTCTCTGCAGACACAGTGTGCTGCCATGCCAAGATTCATTCTGGCATTTGCACAAGTCATGCTTAATGTACAGGAGAAACTAGACAGAAAGATCTTACCAAGGATTACAAAGTACTGATGGGGATGGACCCTGCCATCCCCAACACACAAGCTTTCCCTGAAAATAACTAATTATCTAATGGTAATGCTACATATTTGATCAGGAAAGAAAAAAAGAAACCCAAACCTAAATATAACTCTGGTCAGTATGGAATTTGGCTTTTGCATTCCACGCTCCTAAGAGCTACTCGTCTCATTTGTCAAAAAATTAATCTAGACTCCTAAACTAATCTTCTCAATGCCCTGTATGGACAACAGAGGAAAGTTCTTCCAGAGTCCAATTCATTTAGTCCCAGACACATGTCTGACAGGCAGGATGAATCAGCCTGTGGAGAGGCTGCATTGTCCCCACAAACTGTGGTGACCAGAGCTAGCTTTAGACAATGCATTCAGCACTTTGCCAAAGTTAGCTGAACACCATTGGCCTCACAGAGCAAGCTGGGAATGTTGCAATTCTTTTGCACACAGTTTATAATCTCCTTTCCAATGTGGCAAAAGAAAAAAAAGAGGAATTTCGAGTAGTGAGAACCCAGGCCCAGTGAAAGTTTTCAAACCTGACTTGTTTACCTTGCTGTTCATAGGCAGGAACTTACAACGAGTGACAAAAGAAAAAGGTTATTTTTAGGTCTGGAAGAGGTGGAGCTATGCACTACAGATGGGGCACTGAAAAAAATCTGAGAAGTAGAATCTCTCTAAACATTTCTCTGCCATTTATAGTGTTGGATGGGTAATTCCATGTATCTGAAGTAAAGGAAAAAACTTGGAGCCTACAGATGATGTGGAGTCTTCTCAAATCCTGCCTGAAACACTGAGGTGAAAAATAATATAATATCCTTTTGAGATATTCCTTATAGAAATATATCAGTCTTCTGGACAAGAATGACTCCTTAGCAGGGACAGTAAGTGAGAGGGTATCAAAATAGAAAATAATATAAAATATTCTTTAAATAAAAGTTTAATTCACTCTTACTTTACAGAATATTTAGAAGCACCTTATCATTTTACTGCCAGTTCTAAAAAAGACCAACAAGAGACCGGAATGATTTTAGCTGGTAAAATAGGAAACCTTGTGAACAAATGGATACAAGCTAAGTGAAAGCACAGTAATATTTTGTACACCACAATTATAATCAGAATCTGGCATCGGTTTATTCAAATTTTGCTTTCCTGGAAGCAAAGCTTACATATTTGTAAACATCAAAATAAACATTGCTTAATTTTACAATTTGCTAAACAAATACTTTTTTACCCTGAAGGGCATATGCAGAGCCATCTATTTGTTTCACAGTTCTCCTGTTGACCTGTGCTTCAATATTTCTTTAAACAATTGGTTCTTTTACATTTTTAATGGTGCTTAAAAATTCCTTCCGATATTGTGCAAGTCATAGGCAAGGCCATTTTGATGTGTGCCCTTCCTTACATAGTTTTTTGATCAGTACTTACCTAATGCAACTGTGGAAAAACTATACATTTTCAGGAAAATGTTTTGATTTTGGTCCTGTAGTTAAAGACCTTCTGTAACTGAGTTGTTTACATGGATTTGAATCACAAGCATGTACACAACAAAACCACTATACCAATGTTTCTTGGTGTATGCATAAAAAGTATGTCTTCTACTTACACTAAAACATACAAAAAATAAACTACAAAAATTGTTTACACTTGATTTCAGCAAAAAAAGCTTTCTTCAAGAAAAATGATTCTTCTTTTTTCAGCCATCAAAAAAGGAATGCAAGTAAACAATAAATACATGTGCTTTCTCCATATAGACATATTTACACTTGAGTCTTTGGCTTATGTTTAAGTTTCTTTTTATAAAGATCTTTATGTGATCCAGCCATCATTGCACATTAAAACAAAATAAGCCAGGTTTTTTTTTTTTACTATATATAATATATATGCAACACTTGAAACGTATAAAGAATGAACCTTACTATCAATTTGCACTGTTATTGTACTTTAACAATGTATCAAAAGGAAAAAAAAAGAAAAATTAATACCATCTAGGAAATATTGATACATGCAACAGATGGTCGCTCTACTGTAATTGAGAGACGGCTGCATATACAAACACTGAAAAGTCCTAATTTGCGCAAATCTCTTCTGACTCTGGTTTTCATTAAATAGTATTTATGTGGCACTAAATGTTGATACTGTATACAAGCATAGAAACAGATTGAGTTCTTTTATTAAGATACACAACTTCATAAGAAAAATACTTTGCATTTAAAATTTAAAATCCCTCCCACCCCCCCTCTTCCCCTAAAATCTTTCTTCACAGGATCAAGAACTGTTGTCAAAACAGCTTATTGAGATTCATGTATTTGGTGAACTTTGTCACATCCATTCCAACTAAGAGGATTCCAAGTACTCCAGCGCAACATCGTAGCAGAAGCGATACTGCTCCTTTAAGGGGAAAGAAGAAAAAAAAAAGACAGTAAGTTAAATTAAGATTCTAAAGTATTAGCAGCAGTATCTACAAACAAGAATGGCCTTTGCTAGCTACTGTGCAATTTTAACTTCAAGCCTGACATACTTGGGTTTTCTTCTCCCCACCCCTCTACTACACAAGTATACTACCAGCTCTGATTTAAAAACTACCATAACCAATGAACTGGAAAAAAAAAAAACCTGACCATGAAATGCAATGATTTGCTTCTCTGATTTTTTCAGTTTCTGGTTTATCAAACCTGAAAAGTTCTCCTATCAGTCAGAGCATTCTTGCCATAAAAGCACCTCGACTCTGATATACCATTTATATTTAAGTTAGCTGATACTGAGCACTTAACCAGTGCCTGCTGCTTGGACAGCCAGAGCATGGCACTGCAATGCTGAGCTGTGACACAAAGCTGCTCTGAGCCCACGACTCATTTGTACAGTTGTGTCGATGTAACGTCCAAGAGATCAGATGCATGTTTAAGAGAGAAGTTAAAGCTGAAAATTTCACCATGGTTAGTATTTCTCCTTAACAAGGCTGCTGTTCAGAGCTGATACTGTGAGAGAGGGAGAAGGAAGGAGGGAGGAGAGGGCAAGTAGAAGGAAAAAACCCAAGAAAATTAATTCAATCTCTATTGTCCTTGCGTCCTAACAAAACGAATCTGCTTTTGTGATTTATTTTTGTTTGCAAAGGAAGCCAGCGTGATCCATTAGCAGGAAGTGGTGGGGATATCTTAAAGGCTTTATTGCGCTGCTCATTTTTGTTATCTGATCATGTTGCTGAATGTAGGGCACATGACAGTGTTATATATTGGTTTTCCTGGTTTGTTTTCTAACTAACGACTCAACAGCTGCTGCTGTTCAAGAGTTCTGAATAAAACCCCACACTACAGAAACACGTAACTACGGAAATTCAGTAACTGCAGATTAAAGCTTACAATGGAATTCAGGACAATTTTGAAACGAAATACAAGTTTGCAGACCATTTATCAGAAACACACACAATCTACCTTGGCCTCCCTTTACAGTGACACAAGTAATTTTCCATGTGATCTGACCTGCCTTCTTCACAGCAGTGAACTGAAATCCAGGCAGCAATTCAATACGTTGCGTCTCAGACGTCTATGGCACAGCAGACTGCAAAGTATTTGTGGCAAAACCAGCGATACCTAGCCCAATGTCACTGCTGCTACAGGATGCTCTCTATCTGTTAACATTTTAACCATCTTCTTAATTTATGTAGTGGCAAGGGATGGAAGTGATGCACAATAATTAATCAAATCATGCCACAGAAGCTACTTGATAGCAAGCAAACAGTGACACCTGGAAAAAAGGGCAATATGGGAAGAGGCAGCTACAGCCATTTTGCTCAATATGCAGGTTCACAAGGTCAGAAGCAATTTTCACTATGCATAAACTGCAAAACGTTTTTAATTTCAGTTGGCATCCCTGATTTTTATGCTGTAGGCAGCCATCTGGCTGAAAAGAGACACTGGCTGCTGGCAGTGTGAGAGTCAAATGGCAGGAACTCCCAAACACCGTCTAACCTGCTTTCATATTCACCTACAGGAAGGAAAAAATCCACTTGGGAGAATTTTTTTAAGGACTTTCCACCATGTTCAGTTTTTTGTGACTGAGTGATCACACGGACGGATATGCACGCATACTGTACGCATAAAGACTGACCAGAAGAGTGAAGGCTATTTTGAATTCTGGCAATGTACATGCAAATATTTAGTCTTGTGGTTTTGCTAATTCAGGCTCATATTGTTTATATTAGTTTACTGTTTATTACTTAGTTTAACTGTTGGACTCAATGATCTTAAGGGTCTTTCCCAACCTAAATGATTCTATGATTCTATATATTCATTTCCAACATACTAGATCCAGGTCTTTGATTTTAAAGTTCTGAGGCATCACTTTGACTACTAAAAATCTGAATAACAAACATTATCATTATTTGATACAGTCTCCAAAGCAGCAGTTGTTATTAAGAAGCAAAATATTCACATCTCCATCTACTAATCTGGACTTTACAGCTTATTCCTACCAAGAAGAAATGCCTTGCTCCATAAAATTTCAAGACAGTTTGTGTGAGCATAACCCGCTGCAACTTCTTTTCAAATAGACCAGGTTATTTTTGGAGATTACAGTACATTCTGTTAACTCAGAATGTTTTCTGTGAAAAGCACAGTAGCACTACAAGAAAAGTAGCAGAAAATGCTTAGCCTGGCCTCTCATGATGCTGACTTGCGCGTGCACTCAATAAATGTCCCTTGCTTCTTGCTTAGATTTGCTCTGTTCTGTGGGCACAGGACTGAGAACGCAGCTCACACAGCAAAAGAGCCCCCGGCTCCCCGGCTGTTGGCAGTAACCCCGACGGGCTGGTGCTTACCGGAGTTTCTACCATGTTGGGCTTACTGTTCCGCAAAGTCTTCACGGCGTGGAAAACATCCACCACGTTCTGCCTTTTTACCATCTCAACCACAATGCCAACGGCACAGAACATCCCACTCCGGCCTCCGCCGTTTCTGTACACAAGGAAAAGAGACGGTTAAATGTCACTATGGCGTAAGGAAGCATCCCAAATGCACTTCTGTTCTTTCACTCTGAAAGCACGAGTGATCCGTGAGTCCCACAGGGAGACCAGGCTTTGGCAATCTCCTTGCAGCTCCAGTGGGTTTGGTCAGAGACATTTGCTGTTTCTGACCTTCCTCTCAATTACTTCTTTTGAGTTCTGCCCTTACAACCCACCATACTGCCCAGCTATAGCCTAATTTACACAGGCATTAGAAATAAAGAACTAAGTTCAACGGCAAGTACAACATTTTCCTCTCAGTTCTGGAAAGAGACTCACTTAAATTATCCTATGGTATGAGGATTATCTAGCCAGAGTAATGCCAAGGCTTCACTGATTTGATATCTTGACCTTTGGGGACACTTCTGAACTATTTTAATCTTCGTTTTGAAGACATTAAGGTAGATATTTCTTCTTATTAATTTTAAATTAGCCAGAAGGTTCCACGGATAATGAGGAAGGGTGGGCAGAAAAAGGGCCACAAGTTAATTCTGAACATTTAAACAGAAGTTTTTTTTAAAGTAAGGAGAAATGCATAATTCAATTTCTAAGTTTTAAACTTTGTATTTAAGTAAGGTAGGAGAAAGATTAGGCATTCTCTGCTTAGGGAGAAAAAGATGCTGCCTTGTCAAAACTCCCAAACCAACTCCCATTTAAATATCAGGCTCAGATAAGCAGCCAGTGGTCATTTACCAACAATAGTTTTAGCATCATATACTGTATTATAGAACTTTTCTCTGATTTCATATACCCATAGCTTTCAGTCTAAAACCCTCAAAATATAGTAGGCCTTCTGGAAAAAATGCAACACACGATAGGCAAGAGATACACAAACCCCAACCTTTTAGCATTCAGCATAGAAGACTTCCTTACTGAAACAGTACAAAAGAAATTCATCTGTACACATTTTGTACCTGAAAAACATACTATTATGGACAGGAGACAATACACAGTGTCACTGTAGTATCATGTCCAAAATACTCATTCCCATGGTACCTTGACCTGACACAGACAAATTCTAAAGTTGACCAAAAGCCAACCCACAGTAGCAGTGGTAGGGTGGTTTTTTGCTCAGTTTTGTTTGTTTGTTTTTCATATAAAAGAAACAAGGGCATGTGCAAAAGAATGCAGCCATACGAACACTGCTTGAACTTAAAACAAGAACATATATATAAACATTTATTTGAAGAGCAGCAATTTGACTTTCTCCCAATTACTCACAGGCAATGGATGATGGTCCGGCCCTCCCCTTCTTCACATTCCTCTTGCCATTTTTCAACCTGGAGAATTAACTTCAAGAAGGATCTCTTGGAAGCTGGTACATCTCTGTGAGAAGCCCATCCCAAATACTGGAATTGCTGCACCATCAGATAGCCCTCTTGTGGCTGAGGAAAACCAAGGAGCTTTAGGTCAATATGGCACCTTTACATCTTGGTTTAGAAAACCAAAAAATAAAATTAACATGAAACCTAAGTGTTTATATTATGGACAGATTCCAACATGTATATACATTGCATGTTAGGGTCTCCATTAATTCGTATCACTTGAGCTCAAGGAATATGTCAAAAAAGGGAAAAAGGGTACTACATTGAAAACAACATCACAGTTTATCAATCATTAATGTAACCTATCCTGACTTCTAAATGGACAAATTCCCTAGATTCTATGTGTCAAAGGTTTTTATCCTTAATGTCAATAATCAATTTAAAACATCACCGTTAAATTCTTAGACCTACAGAAATGAAGAGATATACCTCTGGCTCCCATGCATGAACTGACCCCATTATAAATGAACAACAAGTAATACTGGTGCACAAATATGACTATTTTCCTTGAAGTCATCCCTTTTTGTCAGACTATGATAATCATGACAGCCTTGCTGCCAGTCTCTGACCCTCCCATGTGCTACATGCTATGCAGGGAGAGCTTTGAATAGAATTAGACCGTCAGAAGAAAGGCCTCAATAATTGGAAGAATAAATAGTCTATTCAGTTTCTTGGAGCTGAAGATGACAAAAAGGAGTGGGAATGTGGATTTTAGAAAAGGAAGAACAGAGCAGAGAGGTATTTAGAAGCAAGACGTAAAGGCGAAAAGGCATGGGAGACAAAGAGAAGCAGAGGTGTAGAAAATCAAAACTTTGTAAAAAAGAAATGGAAAAAGTAAAAATAAGAAATGAATAAAAAAAAAAGAGGAAGTCTCAAAATACAACAAAAAAAGCACTATGGCGTAATATTTGCCAGTGTGCCTACACCTTAGCTTCCTGTAGTTTCCAAACAAGGTATGAAGAGCTGAAAATATTTTTCTTAGCTCTGAATATAAGCAAAATGAAGGTTTGGATAAAATGCTGGCCACAAACAAACTGATCCCTGCACATTGAAAAATGAAAATGTGACCAAAATAAAATAAAAAAACCCTTTGTATACACAGTAATCAGTTTTTCCCACAGCTATTCTTCAACATTAGTGAAAGTTAAACGCATACTCCAAGTAGCAACTGGTGACATGTAAGTTCAGTATTGAATGAAAGGGAAAAAGTAATGGTAAGTAAAATGGAGATTGCTGGTAAACTGTACATATAATGGTGGCACAAGCATCTGTCACTCTTTACCTGTAGGCAACATAAATGATTTATACGGCTAAATTAAAGGAGGAGGCACTGCATGGCAAACAGGGTTTGAGAAGATGCTGTGCCAGTGTGAAGCACTATGGGACACCAAAAAGACAAGAAGGTGCAGGGTGTGAAAGAGTCGACAAGAATGCAAGACTGGCACTGCTACTGAAGTTGAGAAAAAAATGATAAATGTAGGTCGGGGCACAGAGGTGCAGAACCCTTCAGAAGCAGAGGAGCTTTCAGAATTTTTTCACACTCTGCTTTGCAGGGTGCCACAATCCTCCTTTTATGTTGTGGTTCTCACATCTCAGGCTAAGGTGCTGGTTGCATAACCAGCCTCAGTGCTCCTGTTCCTGATTCACCACAGATGATGTCTTACAGAAGCTACGAATTAAATACCTGTCACTATATGTTCATTACAGGGATATTTCTTTCACTGCACACCGAACAAACAGAACGCTTTTCATACATCTTCCACTCACCAGAGAGAACGCCACAGAACATTCATTCACCTTACTGCTCTCTCTGCTTAACATGCAGCTGTAGAAAAGTACTAGAAATTAGTATTAGGTGTCGATGCTTGACTGACTCTTTTCTGGGTAATGTCTTAAGAACATTAGTATTTTACTATTATTCAAAATTAAAACCTACAAGAGCCTATAGAGTGTTAAAAATGACATATTTTTCCATTACATATTGTTACGATAATGCTTACTCTTGTTAGATTGCATATCCTGAAAATTCGGCTTATGACGTCGCAGTCCATTGAACACGACATGCATTCCACTTGGATGGGGCCATACCGCAGTATCCCTTCCTCGGGCCAGTATTGTGGGCAGCCCTGCGCCAGAGCAAAACGGGCATAATTAAATGGTAAGCTACAACTTGAGCATTGCCTTATTCTACTGCAGCCATCTCACCTCAGCTTTACTGAGCAACTCGTGTAATTGCTGTAAAGCAGAGAATAACTGTAAAATCACTGCACTGCTCTACTTTTTGATCATGTAGTGCATCCAGAGTGATTAAAGCATGCAATGGTACATAGAAAACTCGAGCCCCAAACTAACCTGTGCTAAGTCGACTTCATTTAACATCACAAGGGAAGTACAGCCGTAGTCATACACTAATCTCCAGAAATCTTTCACAGTGTTTGGTAAAGGATGTTGTGTGACAATAAAAGCTGCTGGCTGCCTGTAGCTCTGTAAAGGCAAACGATTTTATTAGCACCGGTAGAGGAAGTACTTCATAACTTCCACTCAAATGCTGCAACAGAAAAAACATATTAATAGAACAAAGCCGCGACATCAATTACACCAGATTTCACCAAAGCTGATGTTAAAAATACATTGTTGTCTCCAGTAAGAACAAAGAGGTTACTCTGCTCAGGGCTGCCTTCTGCTTCATTACAGGCCAAACCCTGTTGCAGCTCTGATATGCACGGGGCTCTCAAGATGCTCTTCAGGGCTCTGCTGAGCTGAGGCTTGGGCAACTCTGCTCCAGGCGCTGTGTCCAGGAGACCGAGCAGAAACCTTCTCCCTGTGTTGCAGAGAGGGGTGCAGAGGTCTCAGAGGGTCTCCCCATCCACAGCAGGTTACACGTGAGCTCTGTGACTGAACCGAGGACTAAGCTCAATCCCAAATTCTGTTTCAGTGCCACAACCACAGGATCACCCACGGAACTGACCTTCTGGGGCCCATTTCCAGCAGAAAGTGGAAGTTAGACAGCAAAATGCTATTTCCTGTCATGACAGCAGACTCCATTTTCTGTACGCTGCGTTATACACAACTGCAAACAGCAGTTTCCAGCCTTACATAGGTTGGCTGAGATGCAACTAGTAGCAGAGGGGCTACGTCCCTGCAGCACATATATCATGAGCAGCAAGCAGAAGAGGAGAGATCAGAAGTTTTTTGCAGGCAATTTGCAACTATGCACGGAAGAGTTCTGCAGTGAAGAAATACAGATATGAACTGGCAAGGATGCACCAACAGGTTAATCTGAGAAACAGAGTAAGATGGTGAATATTCTTGTAGGCGGATGGGACTGTAAGTCACCAGTTTGAAGATGAAGTGCTGGAACTGCTGCATGCAATGCAGAGATCCCTGTGTTTAGCAATCATGCTGGTACTAAAAGCAGTCTGGCTGGTTTTTTTACTGAAATAAGCAGAGTAAATTAACCTAGGAGAAAGACCTGGCAAGGGTAGCTAAACCACTTTTGGTGTGGAAGCTTGCTTGTTTGAAGGTTGAGATGAGGGATCTTCACATGCAATATATAACCTCGAAGAGCATAGTGTGAGGCCCAGAAGGAACAAATACAACTTTTTTCATCCTTCTACTTGTTGTAAACTGTGAAGGTAATAAATCAATGCCTTTAGCATCAGTACTGACTTGACAACAGAGTAAGGAGGCTGACTTTTTTTTTTAATCTATGTTTGTTATCTTTTTCTAATGCAGGAAGCATATCTGGGTAATAGGACAGACATGCAGCTTGTATCCTACTTCCTAGGTCTGCCCAGGGAGCAAAAAAGAACAACCACTACTGATTCTTCCCTTGTATTTTTAAGGAATAAAACATGTACTAGTTGATGTTTTCCTAGCCTTCTTCCTCATCATTTCTGGTCTTTCCCAAGATAAGAGAACTAACTGAGATTGAGATGATCAGGTTTTCAAAAGGGACAGGCAGGAGATCTGCTGCCACACTGGGAAGCAGACACCTTTTTTTGGGAACACGGGGACGAGTACATTGTGGAAAGAGGAAAGTTTCCATTTCTGTTTTGCTATCAAAAGCCCTCTTGCATTGCCCAGCAGTGGGATCCTCCTCTCTAAATAAATCAGCCTAAAAAAAAAAAAAAAAAGAAGAAAAAGGGCAGGAAAAAACTTTAATACCGAAAGTTTTAACCCTGTGCTTATAGCCTTGTTATATGCCTTCATTGTAATATATTACTTTTTTTTTTCCTGTTGCTTTTTTCCTTTTATTACTACCATTTTTGTCTTTCCTTACTTGCCACTGATTGCTCGTCCATTAATATATTGCTTGGTTCCCGTCCCTGCCTGCCACACACAGTTACACACTCAGAGTCCTCCTGCCACCCAGCCGTTCAGCCTGTGTTGTCTGCCTTTCTCCCCAGACCACATTCCTCTGTGCAGCTGTGCTGGTTGGTCCATAACACATCAGTTTTGTCCAGGTGCTTAATGTAATTTTAACTGCAATTCTAAACAATTTCGGTTGCTACCAAAATTCTGCTTACTGCACTAATTCATCCATTCAGTCCCAGTGACTCCCTAATAGACTGGTCTCACACATGCTACTCCCCTATTTTTCTGGCACAATGGCTAATTGTGGGATTAGGGACTGCAGCTTGCTAGCAGTTCAAACGTTTCCTGCACTAGCTCAGGCAGAACTCCGGGATGAATACCATTCAGTCCTGATGATTTCTGCTGCTATTTGTCATTTTATTCCAGCATCTCTTCTTAACACTGCAGTTTCTGACAGCACTTCATTTTTGAGGAAGGGGAGATATTCCTGAAAATCAGGCCACTTATTTAACTATTTACTATAAAGGTGGCTTTAGGGGCCGAACTTTGGAAATGCTAATGGCAGGCACAGGCAGGTATCTGACAGCACATGTGATGAACTGCTTTACTGATCAGACATCTATAAGCAGGTTCACCTCCTTTTTTCCCATTAATTCACCTCTTCCCCTGACAATACTTCTGTCACTCAAACTTCAACTTTAAAGAGCTGCAACTCAAAATATGATCAACAAAAACCCCAACCCTATCCCCAAACATGTCAAATAAACATTTTTTTTCCTTCTTCCCCTGTCTCTCCTGCCTGAATACACATAGCTTTTTTTATAAAACAGAAATACTAACCTCACACTCAGGTAGGTACTATTTACTTCCCGACAAACAGCAGATTTTTGAGATCCTGCTGAGATTTGGAGGGTTGGAGATTAGAGCTTTATATAATGCTGTTGAAAAGGGAGATTTTCAGTGGGTCCCACAAGGATGCAGAAGACTAAAGATAACAAACCTTCTGAACAAGCAACACAAGCTGGTGGGGTTTCTTACTCATTCCCTCTACTCTTCTTCATTAGGACTGTTTTACTGGGCACTACAGTAAGAAAGAATTACCCTTTCTTAAACCAGCAAGTGCTCTCTCTCGTATTATACAGTTTTTCATGGCACACTATGCAGACAAAGAAGATAGTCTCTTACGTCCATAAGAGCAGCATTGATGTAGTTGCTGCTCTCCCCATCAATAGTAATTAAGAAAGGCAGACATCTGTCAGGTGGCAGCATATCCATGAAGCGGTTCTTGTCATGGTTCCTTGGCAAGCAGGCTATGCTGCAGTCCTCCGCTTGCAGGCGAGGGGTCACAGAATTCAGGGTCTAAGGGAGAGAGGACGCATGCTTTAGAACGCTGAACTAACAGACATCGGACTCGAGATTCCCCAAGTTTTAATTGAAAATGTTGCAATATGGGAAAACATGAGGCATTAGCAAGAAGGCATTAGCAAATAAGAGCTCCTATCTGTTTGATGGACATGCTGGGGCTTTTGAAGGAGGGTTGAACTGCAGGTGTAAAAGGCACTCCATGTACCACTGAACAGATGCTGCATGACACCATCTCCTCCAAAAGGAATAAAACAAAGAGGATCCTTTGGAGCTGTAAAGAGCTATGCCTTAGCTGTGCAAATGCAAGCAAAAACTCTCTGTGGCTCCTAGTCAGTGCTCTTTATTCCAGACAGATATTTACTGCAATTTTATTCAAAGGAGGATATTCCATATTTAAAACAACTTTACAAAGCACATAAACACGGGCCCTTTATTTTGTGGACTAAAAGTAAAGGACCAAATGCTATAAACATGATATGAAAATCCTTTCCCTTAAAGTAAATCAGATGTATCTAGAGGCAAAAAAATTCTTGTCACATGAAATGTTAGGAATTGTGAATACCTGAAACTCATCTTTGAGATGTGAAGAGTTTGTCTGAGAGTCTATTCTAATCATATCAAAATAAGCAGCTTTGAATTCGCAGACAGGAATGGCAGTTTCTCCACACAGGCAAGCTTCTAGAATGGCATCATGAATAAAGATGTACTGCTCCTACCAAATTAGAAAGAAACAAAAATTATAGCCCTTTAAAAACAATGCATCTTTCCTTCTTTTGCAATAAACAGATCTCCTGCACACTGTAAAACTCATTCAAGATAGTGTCCACCAATCCGTTAAATAAAGCTTTAGTACAAACACAACGTTGTCCTAATTGGAATGCAGTTAACAAGGATGTTTTCTTCAGAATCAATTTAAATTCAGTAAAACTTAACAGAACAGGCATAGCAATTTATTTAATTGGAGGTTATTAGTTTTCTTGTGGTGCTTGTGGATTTCTGTGTATATGCCACTGACTTGTTGGCTTTACTCATTTTGGTTTTTTAAAAATAGTTTTCAATCTTACAATACTAGCAGAAAGTGCAAATTGCTTCAAGCACTACTAGTGTGATTAGTAATTATTTAGCATGCTGCATTCTCCTTATGTGTGTGCAAGCTAGCACACCAATTGTCTGATAGCTGGCTCTAGGCCAGTAAAAAACTTAAGCGTGTTCCAACAGGAACAGCATTTCTTCCTGCTTTTTTTTTTTTTCTGACTTGCCTTGAGATATCCTAAGTCCTAGACAACTGCCTTACTATTTCAATACACAAGGTGTTTTTACACAACGCCTATTATATTTACTCACCCTGAGAGTAATAGATGTAAGTCATGCCTATATAGCAAAGTGCGAGAACTGTGCCAGCCTCACCTACCTACTGTGGATACCGATGAGGTTACTAACAGCACAAAATTTCACATGTGCCTGTAACAAGAGCACATGTCCAGGGAGCACGGTCGTATTCTGGCTCTACAGCTTGCGCTGCCTTACCCACATAGCTGTGGAGCTATTGCCATAGCTATGGAGCTATTGCCATCACTGTTGTCTAGGTGACCATCTCAAGAACTTGCTGCAATTATAGCTTTATTTTGCTGTGTAAGTATGAACCTCTGAAAGAAGATGTGAGGTAAGAGGCAAAAGGGAGAGAAAGAGAAAGGAACAGCAGTAGGGGTGTTAATTTACACGAAAGAGCAGATTAAGCTGGGATGGTTGAAGCAGTCACACTGAAACACTCCACCCCACGCACTTCCCAAAGGTTAATGGCCCTGTAGCAGGGGTAGTTGATCGGAAACATTTATTTGTTCAACTGCCACAGGTTGCAGCATAGAATAAAAACTGCACCAAATTACATTGATATGCCTGGCTGCCAACTGCAGAGATTTGCTCGTGGTCACAGGTGAAATAACTTCTCAGGTAGACGTGGAGGACAGGAGAGAGAACTGGCAAACCACTTCAGGTAACCTGTCTTAATAGAAATCAATAACCTATGTTTCTGTGGAGGCTCAGTGTTACTCAGCTGGCAGAAGGGAAGCTGTTATAGCTTCATCACTAAGGCAGTGGTTTTACTGTGGAGTTGCTGAAGGCATGACGAAAACCAAAAAGGGTAGAAAAGGAAAAAGGCTTGGCAATGAGGTTAATCAAGTAAATAAAAACAGAATTGAAAAGGGAGAGTGAAAGGGACATAAAGTTCCACAGGTAAGTCAAATTATGGATACAGTGGTTGGAGATAGACTAAAACCAGTGGCAACCTGCTGAAATTCCAACTTCAGGTTCCTGGAGTTGCTGATACCAGAGCTGGGGAGAGATGTGCCAGACAGGCCTACAGTAGGGTCTTCTCTAAAAAATCCTCCTTGCTTTCCTTTTGTTACAAAGTTAGGCAGGCTTTGTGTGAAGACACAATTACTGCATTGAGCAACGCTCCCCGGAGGAGAAGATCCCTCAACAGGGCCACTGGCTGCTGTTTTCAGAGTAACAGTGAAATTCTGACCTAGCGCGTTTCAGAAAGCATCAGGTGCTTTGAAGGTAAACTGCCGTACCTCTGTCTGTACCATGTTTATGCGACGGGACCGTAAGGCTTTCACACAGTTGTAGATATCCACAACACCTTCTCTTTCTGCCATATCTAACATGATATCGATCACAATATAACAACCTGTTCGTCCAGCACCGGCACTAAAAAGAATCAGTAAATACAGTTAGGAATAGCCCCATGAAAACACCTACAAACTTTATAAACCCATTACTGAGAGTATTTTTATAAAGTCATTCAGTTCTTTCATCAGAAACGCTATCTAATTTTTATCTTTTCTCTTTCTCTTCATAACGTTCTTTCAATATTTTGATGTGCCCAAACCAACCATTTTCCATCATATTTGATCCACTAAGTAACAGAAAAAAAAAAAAATTGTTTTTCTCCTTTTATCACCCAGATCAATACCTTAAGTAAAAAAGAAAAGTTAAGTTAAACTGAAATCTGGAGGATGATTAAGCTCATGCACTTCAAAATATGACAGATTTTGGTTTTATTTAATAAGACTAAGGACGATTTTTAAGTGATGAATTACAATAAGAAACTCAAGTGTATGTTTTACTAGCCAAGTTCTAAGCTGGTTCAGGCAGCACATTTAACAGTAGCCAGAAGAATCTCTCTTGATTTATTTTGGTTTTATAAAAAGCTCCGAACATTTTTTGCACAGCAAATTCTTAAAATCTGAGTAACTTTATCTATGGAATGTAATTAAACACTTCATGGTGCTGAAAGAAAATTCTATTTGTCAAAGGACTGTGTTCCATCAACACAAACCTTGCAAAACCTGCACAGGAAAAACAATATTCTGTATTTGTTGCCATTAACCTCATTCCATCTTCATTCATCTACTTGTTTACTTCGATTTAAAATAATAATCTCTTCAGACATTATATGCAATGCCAAGCTATGAAAGCAACTGTATCTACACTTATTCTCGAATGCTGTCACAAAATTGTTGTAAGCCACCTAAAATGATAGCCTGAAGTATCATATGATTTAGCTGGTGAAGCTCTTGCAGGAAGAAGAAAATCTCTGGCTATTCTAGTTAGGAAAAGCGTACTAGAATCCAGTTATTTTCAAGCACTGCTGTAGACAGCCAAATCCTAACGCAGTGTAAATTAGGCAATTCAAAAAGGGAACGACAAAACCAAAACACTTCAAAATGATGGATGCTTCACAAGAGACTCCTGTAAATGCTCACATACTTGGTTGTGGGAAAAAAATCAATCTACTTCTTCTGTACACACCTGCAATGGACAACAATAGGCCCTGCACTAGGAGGGTTAGATAATTTGACTCTCCGTATGAAGGAAAGCAGGCCTGTGGCATTATAAGGAACTCCATGATCTGGCCAGCCGGTGAAATGAAACTGTTTAACTTCACGGATTTCGTTGTAGCCCCTCTGTAAAAGGCAAAAAAAAAAAAAAAGTTATGAAATTCAAAATATTTCATACACTAGATATTCTCTGACTCAATAACACACATTGATAGAATCTACATGCTGTTTTCATCGTTTCACCAGTTATTTAAATCAAAAATCATACAACGCTTGAAGATGTCATTTTTTTTTTCATTTTGAAGTCTGTAATTTTTACTTTTCCCATTAAGTATGTCAGTTTTGCCTCGTCAGATTTTTTCTTTTAACAGACTTAGATGCAATTCGCATAGATTTTCAGAAGTTTTTCTAATTAAGACAGTGGCCTGGCTACATTTACAGGCAAGTATAATGATTTACCAGAAGACTACAACTGTATCACGCATCTGGCATTCACAGAGTTTGTTCTTTGATTAAGTGAGATTGACTCAGTGGCACTCAGGGCAGAGTGAACGGAGATGAATGACAGGCATGACTCAAAACCCGGGACTTGTGGTCAGCACAGAAGCGTGGCTAGAGAGAAGAGATGACTGTCAGAGAGTGGAGGGTAGCAGTCAACATTTTTGGGGAAATTCAAAGTCCCACAGTGTTTGGATAGTTTGGCATGTTTGGATAGTGCTGATGTAATGCATTCCTCCCACGGTGAGGTAAGGGTGCCTACTGTGAACCTGCTAACCAGACAGAGGGACCTGGTATTGTACAGGAACGTGTGCAAACATAGCCTCCTCCATACTCCTTGGAACAGTATTTTGACGAGCCCTTTCAAAACGTGCTCACCCTTCCCAGAGAGAAGGTCCTGACAACGTACTCCGCAAGGGGCTCCATCTCTACACAAGTCACTTTGAAGTCACCGTAAACTTCTGTGTCATCAGGCCAGTACTTGTAACACTTGACCTAAATACAAAATGGGAACGCATTTTACACCAAAAGAAAATAAAAGCTTGAGGATACGTTACTGCATGTACTGCATTACACCACATTTATTTCCAAAATGACCAAACACTCATGTGGCTTGTCATGGCTAATGGTCTTTCTGTCAAGTTAAGCACTAGCTAGAAGGAATTTCCACTGCTTTATACAGTTGTACTTAGATGCCAAATTCATTTCTAAATGAGCATTTATTTTTTTTTTTTTAGTGCTGAGCTATGGAATACATTTCCACTCATGTTAAACTCAGATGCATTTCATATCAGTAATCAAACTGTTGCAAATAATCCCAGATACTTCATATTATTCCCTGAGGGATGTGTTACTGCTAAACAAATAAATAATTTGCTGATTTTTAGCCACTGATGTAGAAGCGTGTTTGCTCACTAGTCCACTTACTCTGCTCATTTGAGTGATTTAATATACAAATCTATTTTGCTGAAATATGAATTTTGGATTCAGACAATTTTTCACTACTCACGCAAGCAAACAACAGCATCAGACTTCTTCAGAAGTTAGCTTTGGTTTTACACAATACTGTAACCCACAACAATGTCTGGACTACCAACTGTCACCCTTCCCTTCCTCTCAGGATGCGGGGGCTGTCCTTCACAAGACTCTTCTACATTCTGCTGATAATATGTCTTGTCAGCAGTTTTTTCTTTAGGCTTGTAGCATTAAAAGAAAAACAAAACAAAAACTTACTCTCCCAACTTCCACTAAATTCGTGACCATCACAACGCAAGCTGATTGCTCCTGCCATATCATTCTCCAAAAATCATACACGGTCTCATGGACTGGACCTGTAAGAAAAATTCCAGGTAATACTGTGTAGCAAAGTATCAGTCATAGTCAAAGTGAATGCTAAAAATAAAATCCAGTGCTTTTCAGAACTGACACACACAAATGCACTTGCTCAGAGATGAAAGCTTTGTGAACCCACATCATCATACCATCATGCGAGTTTCCAGACTATATTGTTGTTTCTAACCAATGCCGAATCTTCTCAGTTTAACTGAATTACCACTTGAAAGAAATTAATAGCGGGTGTTTCAAGTAGCAAAAAGCCAGAAGTTGCTTGAAAACTACAAGGACGCAGCAATGTGTGACCGCATCTATAGTTACATTTCTAGATTTGTTTTACATTTGTTAAATATGAGGTGTTGAGTGTGAGTTTCTTCAGACGTTCACGGAGGAGATGCCTGCGCCGGAGCGAAGCATCAGTCGGGAGGAGTGGGGGTACAGATCCTGTGTGCTTACCCTCTAGCTCCCAGCACAGTGCGCAAGCACGAGTAGGGACTGAGGCATAAACTTCCCACTGAAGGGTATTTAAACTAACTTAACTACTTTTCTGTGAAGCAAACGAGGAGCACTTCTTTAAGCTTTGCCTCCTGCTCTGCTGCAGAGACAAGACATGTTCAGTTGAGTGACAGAGGCTTTCACCCTGTTACAATCGTCTCAGAAACAGCTCCCTGACCACAGTCCAGCAGTGGTATAAATATTACTGAAGACCCAATCATATTCCTTCATGTGCTAGATCGAAGGCTGCATACTAAAGCAGCAATAAATTTTTGTGTCCTTTACATTATGTGCAATGATTTACATAGTAAACCAGAAATAAGATACAAATGTAGACTTAACTGCCATAGAGAGACCTGTTTAGACAGCACTTACACAAACATAAAAAAAAGTGGACAGAAATTTGAGTATCCTGCTTTAAAACGAGCCTTTAGTTTGTCTTTCCTGTGTGCAGCTACAATCAACCCAGGGCACAAATAACAGGATATTTCCAGCCAGATATCTGATTATAGTCACAGATCAAATAATGACACATCTAAATCTAATTATTTTTACTTTAATTCACAGCCTCTGATATTTCAGTGCAATCTTAGATTAATCTATTTCTTTTTCCTCATTGTGAGGAGTTTTATCAGAAATACAAAACAAATAATTTCCATAGAAATTCATTTTTCCCTCTAACTCCCCTTTTTATTAGCAGGGTGTTATATGATAAAGATTTCCCTCACTTCTTCCTACAAAGAGGCTGTGTCCTTCTCTGGCCTTACTTTACCCAGATTTTCTGAGATAGTGTTTAATTTATCATTACTATCTTCACTGTCTCCATCCTGGACTAAATCCTAGACAGTAAAATAATACATTGTAATATGGAAAGAAAAATGCCTCAAGGCAGGTTGAAACTGTTCTCTGTCTGTATGCCTCTCTTCTCTATTCATCTTCATAACTGGAAATCATGGTAGTCGCTTCCAACTTCATCAGCTGAATTTACCACTCAAAGAGTTCCTCAATATCTAATTAACATGATAAATTAGTGCAATTTTTGCATTTATTCACATTCCACCTGAACATGCTATGTTAATTTACCATAACACAAGATGACGACTCACAATATTGGATATGCTTTATTTTCATCTACTTCCATTTTACCAAAACACTGCTGGACAGTAGAGAGAACACTTGTTCGGTTTGATTAATGCTGGGAGATTCTTACCTTGGGTTGCAATGTAGTGACTTGGCCTCTGATATCCCTAAAACAGCAATATAAGTTGGTTTGAGTACCATATTACTAAGAGAGGGGAAAATAAAAGCATAAGGGCACTACAGAATTCTTATCTCTAGACAATGTTTTCAGAACAAACCAGTATTTAAGAGCAGGATGAAGCTCAAAACCTAAAAAAACAGTTAATACTGAAAAGGTTCGAATGACGACAGATAAAATGGAAATAAGAACATCTGACTTGAACAGACATTGTGGTGTACCGGGAAGGAGTATTCTAGATGGGTCCCTTGGACCTAAAAATTAGTCCTCCATTGACATTACCTCCCTAGTCGAATACATTGGGGCATCTATTTAAAATTTAGCAAAAATTGTCTTTGCCACCAGACTATCTCAAAAGCTGATCTGTGTTCCCAACTTAGCCAATATGAAAAAACCACACACCTTTTGTCTCCTTTTAAATAGAGAATTATTGTAAGGCACAAAGAGGTATGTACCTGAGCCATAACCAATGGGGACAGAGCTGGACACTGTGGCGTGTGCACAGAATCAAGGTCCTACTGCAGTGGAATCTTCTGCAAAATACTTTGCGCTACTGCACAAAGTGTGCATCAATTATACTGGACAAGATACACACAAGTATATACACATACATATATATAATGTAGTTATACAGATATAGATAGATAGATAGATAGATAACCCTACATGACTAAGCCTTTCCAGTTAGCTGGGTCTATGCCAGTTCTAGAGGCACTGTAGAGCATTAATTGCCTGCATACAAACTACAAGACAGAGCTGCTGCTCTTGAGGAAATGAGAGTCTATTTTTGACCAGTGCCAGCAACATTAGCTACAAAGAAGAAGGAAACTTTAGTGAGAAGACAATACAGAATTTCATAATGTGAAAATGTTAAAGAAATAACTCCAATTATTTTCTAGGTTACAGTTTTATTAGGCCACTTGATTCACGTATTGCATTATAGGGGAGCATGAGTCCTTGGATTCCTGGTATTCACAAGATGCTACTAAAGTGAAGGATTTCAATGTACCCAAGGAGTTTATATCCTGTTCCACGAACTGCTTCATTATCCTGTATAGGATGAGAGCACCTTCCTCTGGGGCTTATGAAAAAACTTCTGAGTATCTTACTCTTGGCTTTACAAGAGACCAAGATCACATTAAATGACTAAAAAATTTCTCCTGGAGTTCTTAAGATCAAGTCCCAGCTTCAAATTATGAAAGTGGAACCTGTGCTACACTGTTTTATACTCAGTAATGCTTTCCAGAAGAAGGTAAAAGTGTCTCTTTAAAATTGCAAAGTGCCAGTTTTAACTTGTAGCTTTCCTGTCTCGTTATAATAAGATTCAATTTACTCCTAAATAAGAAAACCAATGTTCTCAAAGAACTGGAATTATTACAAATCTGGAGGAGTTTTCTTGTTTAAGGCCCCAGGCAAAATATCACAGGTCTAAGACTTCACAGAAATTGCCATGTTAAAATATCAAAATAAAAAGACAGCAATATACCTGGAGCTAAATGTTTATATCCCGGAAAGTCAAGAGGGTCTTAAATAATTTCTCAACTAACAGTGAACAGGAAAAATTAGTAAGGTGCAATTTTAAAGAAAAGTAACCAAAGCCATGTATTTTAAAAACACCTGTACTAGCTATTTCAGTATCTTTCGAATTACTTTGGAATTACTTTGAATAAAACAACCTGTTTACTCCTAATGTGTTAATTAGATAAAAGTTATATTTTGTTAATTAAAACACCTGGCAGAATTTGTTTGAATTTCCTGTTTGTGTCAGGGTTTTTTACTATTTATAATTTAATTTGTATTTTAATCAAAGTATGGAATTTCAAACTTTAGAGGTTTGCCACAGAAGTGACAAAATTTATACTGTGTTAAAATATTTATATATATATATGTTTGTGTATATACTTTGTAATACCTAAATTAGTACCTTAAGACAAATGTCAGCTAAATATTGTTTGCCTAAATTGTTGTTAAAAACAAACAACAAAACAAAACCCCTCAAAAGGCCATCATCCCTCCCTTTTTGCCAAACACATATTATGACTACTCCACAGGTACATTTTCAGACGACTACAGTACAGCATACTATCCAGCTTCTCACATATACATGGGAAGGGGAAAAGAAAAGCTAGTGGCCAAAATCATCATCAAAAAAAAAAAAAGAACAGCAAATTCTCTTTAACAGATGGGTTCACCTGAGTTATCTAACAATATCTAATAATATTCAGAGCTATGTTAAAAGGCTAAATTATCTTTTCAAAACAGGTACAAAAAATATTCACACAAAAGGAAATTTTTTAAAGGAACAGATGAGATATATTAGATGAGGCATGCATAGTTATCAAGTGATAAAAATAGAAGAGGAAAGTAATTAATAACAATATCTATATTAAATATTTACAATAGGATGCCGTTATTCACATATAGTGGTACTTACATCCCTGTACAGCCAAATCTACAGCCCAAACCAAAGTCAGATGTGAAAGAAAGCACAACAATGTCAGTGAGTACTAGGACGTAGAACAAGGAAAGTGTACATTTTGTTCTTAATAAAAGAAAGCTTTCAATAAAATTGTAGGCATAACATGCAATAGTTTCACATAGAGAAGCTGGCAAATTGAGAGGGAGAAAGCTGTGCAATCCACTCACATCTATGTAGTTGGCATTAATGTAATCTGAAGATGGATCATCTTCAACAGGTTGCAAAATCACCCTGGAGTGGTCATCTGTAAAAACCAAGTGGTTACAGTGCCTTTTTGAAGTGTGATTTTTAAGTAAGATATTACGGTAAGTCATCTAGAAAACCAAAATCCGCTGGCACAAGCACCTCACAATTTACAACCCTTAAATAGTAAGTGTTTACACAGAATTACAAAGAACTATTTCGTCTGAGGTCTCCAATTACTCCAAAAACATTCACTAAACTTCATTAAGTGTAGCTGAAAGGTATCACACTGTTACACGTGGTTAAAAAGACACAAAGAAGCCAGGTTACTTGCTCAAAGTCCCTTTCAAAATCAGCTCCACTGATGGTAATCTAGAAAACCAAAAATCCTGATTACTGTTGCCTTACTTCCGACCCCAGCCTGCTTAAGTTCATATTGAGACATTAAAAACAGTAAGGAAGTCACAACACAGGGGTTAGCAATGCACTTGGGATTCGATGAAGAGGTAACTCTACCCGTTCAGGGACTTCTCAGGTAGCGTCATTCCTGCGTGTTCAATTGCATTTGCAAAACAATAACAAATTGCGAATTAACAGAATTAACATCCAAATGAGTGCTAGCTTGTTGCTGTTGCATGCTTACCACAGCTTGCACAGCAGAGATGCAAATGTGAAATTCAGCCGGAGTTATAAAAGGAAGAAAGTTGAACTGTGAAGGACAAAAAAAAAAAAAAAAATGCTGGAAAAGGCACTGTCCTCCTTCTCCGCTTGGGGTATTAAGCAGCTATGCCACCGGAGACTTGTAAAGAAAGAGAGAACATGGCACAAGTAACACACGCTCAGACCAAGCACACCAGTACTCACATGCTATAATGTTTCCATAGCGGTTCTTTGTTCTGTTTTGATCCTTCTTAGCGACATCCCAAGAAGCTGACTGCCCCTCAAAGAAACTCTATAAATAAAAATGTTCCGAAAGAAAACATTCTGACCATTAATTTATCTCCAAAAATAACAGTTTAAAAGAACTGCCCTGTATAAAGCAACCTCAGCTTTACTTGTCTGCTCTGGTCACCCAGACGGCACCACGGTACAGAAATATCTCTAGAGAAGAAGGGAGGCTCACTCCCTCTGACTGTTATGGGTCAATGGGCAAGTCACTGAGGGACTCCAGAGGGATTTCAAATCCTGAAATCGCCGGAAGGCAAAACTTGCTCAGACATCCTTGCTATGGAGGAACAACAGTAAGCTGAGAAAACACAGGGAGACCGATCACCCTTCTTACAAGACATCATAATGTATAGCCTGTTTACTACAGCATTACACTGCTTTCCTCATATTGCTTAGTAAAATGGCTTTTCTTCCTACAGAGCCATCAGGAAGCCTCCTTGGCCAATATTTATTGTTCATGTTGTTTTTCCTCATATCCCTCCCTCTGGCCACTAGCAAAATTATTCTACATTTTTGAACTCTTCTTAAGAGTCTGATCTCTCAGTAGTGATAGAAGCAGCTTTTATTCCTCCTTGGGTTTTTCTTCATTGCCCGCAGATATTTTACAGCTGTTGCAGGTCTATGCTATTCTTTCCTTCCAGATGTTCTCTTATCCTGACCTGGGTGAGTTAGCTCCAGAAAGTACAGAGTAGCCATGGAAACAAAACTTTAATGCACGCTCAGAAGCCCAAGCCAGGGCAAAGATGTCATATAAGGTAACAGAAGAAGTAGCAAGTAGGAAAACACCTGATGTGGCATCAGGAACCACCACCCCCCCAGCAGCGGTTGACACTTGAGCTTAGCCCTGAAGTTAGGCAGAGCATAACGAAGCGTAATTAAGTAAAAGAGAGGAAAAGAGAATAATATTCTTTTAAAAACCACACATTTATTTATTCCAGTTCTTATGTTACAGTAGAGACAGCTGCAGAAAGGAGAGAAGGTTGAAAACTGAGTCAGAAGAGATTAGAGAAAACTCATTTTAAACCTAGCTGTATTGCGTGCAACCTTGGCAGTCCCATTCCTATCTTTACTGTGTGTGTCCTGCCTGATATTCTAATTCCAAAGAATAACAACAGATTCAGAGATCAGAACTGAAATGAAGCTGTACTCATTATCTACCTTCAGTGCCGGGAATTTTTTGCTTCCATTTCAACATTAAATTGTAAGTAGACATGCTCAGGCAGGTCTAATCAGAACTTCAAGAAGTTCCTACCCTCGGCATGTCTTTACTGCTTCTCAGCTGGAGTTTAGTCCCAGTATTGCCCTATTGAGATGCTATAATAAATCATGAGAGTGCTTCCAGTCAGTGCTTCTTGCAAAACTAGCCAGGTTAAATCTTTACTTTAACCTAATCCAGGAGATTCGCACTGTAGATGGCTCAGAAAACTCACATAACTGGTTACAGCATTTCAACTAAGAAGCAGCAACAAAGAGGTGGTAACTTCTTACAATAAATCAAAATGATTCAGCAGGGCATGTCTTCTTATGCCCTAAAGAATACAGACAGTGTTTTTTCCAGGCACTTGTAATGGCACAACCATCGGACTCCACTCACTATTTCACTTTTGGGTTACATATACAGGAATCTTATGCCTGCTTATCTTTATCTGTTTTTCACTTAAACCCATGACATTTAGTTGCATCCTTTTACAATGCAATGCAAACAAAAGGCTGCACCTTTCAAAGGGATTTTTCCTAGCAAAAACCCACCACTGAAGATCTCACCTCATACTCCTCTTTAAATCCATAGCTGTCAGAGGTCTTCATTAGGTTAATGTGCTGCAGCAGATCAGCCACTCTGATGGCAGGGTGCAGCTGCCCAGTCTGGTATGGGGACTCAGTGCCTTCACAAAGGTAACGAGGAACATCCAGGAGCCGGCTGGACTCTGCTGTTGCACTGTGATTTTCATCTGTGTTCACAAGAAATCAATGCATTAAGTACCTGCGGGGCAGTAACACCTGCTGCTATACATATCAACATCTATTTTCAACCTCTTCCTTCAAAAACATGTCTAATTTCTGAGAACACAAAGCACTTACTCTCCAGCACATAAATACTGTGAAGTACATAAAGGAATTTAACTGCAAACACATACAAAAGTTTGCAATCCTTCATCCTGCAATAAAGATGTCTGAAGGGCATTTTATTTGAAGCTACAAAACTTTATGACATTAATGTACTTGGGAACACCAGCCTCTATCACCCAAAGTAACTTTTTTAATGGCTAATATGTATCAACAGCAATACTACACCTTAAACAATAAATTAGAATAACTCTGTAGTGGTATCGGCACATCATTTGTCTAAGGCCAACAAACAGTAAATTGAGATCCCAGTAAAAAAGAGAAGCAATTATGCTACCACTTCAGAACACCACCTCCATTTGGGAAGATGAATCAGCACTTCAGAGTGGTCATTTTAACTCAGGTCTTTCAGCAGCGAAATGAAACTGTTGACTGTGCTCATTTCAGCCACAGTTTTTGCTCTGCATAAACAAAGAAGTCTCCTCTAATGCCCTATGCTACACCAATCCTCTTATCAAAACGGAATGTCAAAGTTGCACGAAGTGATTGCATTTTGTCAATCCCTTCTGTGAAATAGGTTGTTGTTTGTTTTTTTAAAAATTATCAAGCAGCAGTTCAAATGAATTTACTATTGTTGCCCAGAGAAGCTGTGGCTGCCCCCTCCCTGGAAGTGTTCAAGGCCAGGATGGATGGGGCTTTGGGCAACCTGGTCTAGTGGAGGGTGTCCCTGCCCATGGCAGGGGGGTTGGAACTAGATGATCTTTGAGGTCTCTTCCTACCCAAACCATTCCACGATTATAGAAACACTCTAACTGAAACCTTTTTGGAAAGTAGCTACCAAAATGAGAAGTGGGTAGCAGGCCCCTCTTCCACTTCTTTGAAATCAGTTTACCATTTTCCTTGCAAAGGATCCAGATTAGGAAGTAAAACACCCTAGGAAAAAAATGAACACCTCAAGGGTTGGATTGTCTACAATTCCACCAAAATGCAAATCCCATTAATGCCTTCTGAAATGAGATCTCCTAGTAAGAAGCCCGATTCTCTGAACTGTCACACAAGTTGCTTATTTCAGTACATTTATGCCTCACTAAACTGCCTAATAATGTGAGTGACATGCAGCAGTCACTTTTTAGTGTTACCCACATTAAATCATACACATTTCAGAGCACCTCAGGATTTGCAGTTTTCCCCATTCCTTGCAGTATACTTACCAGTAATAGGCACTTTAACCCATTGAAGCAGCAAAAAACAATGAGTGAACAGAACATAAGAAATTTATTTCAGGACTACATTAGAAAATGACTAGAAGAAAATGACATTAAAAGTTGTTAAAGCTTCACAATAGGTAACAATGAAAGCTGTTTTAGAAATATAAGGGCCACATTATTATGCCATCAATGCAATGATAGGGACTTGAGAAAAGCAAAACTGTCATACTAACTTAGTGCTAATGTACACAGAATGGAGAGTAGCATTAATAACCCATACATGAAGAAAAAGAAACCTAGTACAGCTAAAAAGTAATAAGGGCTTCATACAAAATAACATGTTCTATAATTTAGAGCCCATAAAATTTTGCTCATTTCTAAAGAAAACAGAGGAAAACTGTTTTGTGATGCTGGGCCAAGCAAGGGCTATATGGAGGTGGATGGAGTAGGCCAAATGATCCAGTTCCAAAGCAACAAGTTTACAGGTACCCACCCCTTCTACATGGTGTGCCCAAAAGCTTTTCTACTTCTATTTCAGTCCACACAATGAAAAATACTACCTCTTCCAACTACCATTGCTTTGCTTATACCAGGAAACTATCGTGTCCAAAACATTATTACCAGTAGATGGAAATACAGACAGGAACTATTAAACTGTTCTTCAATTAATTCCTTGTCCTTGCTGTTCACAGCTGCCCGAATCTCTGTCTACCACAATGTAGTGGCAACACATTGACCTTTGGAATATGCTTATAGCCTAAATGAGCTATTAGGAATAGCTTGACAAGAATCACCAGACAGTATCTATGTAGCTTGTAAGTGTCTGAAATAAAGCTAAACGAGACAAGATGATCTTAGAAGGATTTCAGGAAAAGACTCATCTTCTGTAAGTCCACTGATCTAATTTTGGTAAGTATTCAGAATTACTGAGCCTAGCCCTCTGCTCTTTCAGGCAATGGTGCTATTTCACCACCGCTCATAAGCTTCTTAAACCATCTGGTTAGGTTTTCTTGGGCCCAGAGTGGAAGGCTCCAGCATGTAACTGCTCTGACGGTTATAAACTTTCTAAGATGCTACTGTAGTCAAAAGAATGGCATTTGCAACATTATCAAAAGGAAATGGGCAGAACATGACTTGATAAATCTCCCACATGGTGAGTATACCCAATTGACAAAGACCGAAGACTACTCACAAATAGTGATGTGCTGTCATTCTCAGAGGACACTTTACATGAAGATCTGCAAAGGCTCCTCCTGGGTATACCCTCTACCAATCTTTTTACTCACAACTTGCATAATGGGATAGAAAATACCTTGACAGTATGGGCAGAGGGCACTGAGTGGTAACGCACCACAAGCACTTCACGAGTACAGGGTCAGATTTCAAAGTTATCTTGATTATTTGGGAGACAATGCAAAAATCCGCAAGGTGAATTAAACATTGAATGCAACATAGTGTGTGTAGGAAAGGGAAGTCAAATACGTAACTACAAAACGGAGTAATGGACTGGGCAACAATAACTGGGATTTTAGCAGGTAACTCAATACAAGTCAGCAACACAAGCGCAGTAAAAAGGACAAAATACAATTCAGGTAGCAGGAACACTGCAAATAAGGCATGCAAATAGGGCATTACTGCACTCAGCTCAGCACTGAGATTTCTTCCAAGAACTGTACCTGATTTGGGGCACCACAATTAAAAAATTTCACCTAAGAGTTGGAAAGTCTTCAGAGGAAAAGAATGGTAAGAAGTTTAGAAAACATCACCTACAAGATCACGAGTGAAAGAACTGGGCTTAACTCAACTAGAAGAGAGACAATCGAGGACACGTGAGCCTTTCAATGGGTAAAAGACTGTTTTGAAAGGACAGGAGTGTGTCAGTTCTCCGTATCTTCTATGCATCTCTCAAAAGAAAATGGGTTCAATTTACAGCAATGAGGATGTAGTCTAGATTAGTCTAGTTAGGAAAAACTAGGAGTGAGCAGTAATAATACTCAGTAGTAACACCCAGTTAGTAGTAACTAATACTCAGAAAATTGAGCTTTGAGTCCCAAATAATACTAATATGGATCTGAACTTTATTTTTATTTAGGAGAAACGAGGCACTGGAGCATGCCACTGCAAGAGTTCTTCACTACAATTTCTTCAAACACAATAGACAATCAATTGCCAGAAAGAGTCTATACTATACACATAATGTCCCATCTCAAAACAGAGGAGGGATTACATTGCCTCCACGTCCCTTTAAGCTTTACTTCTAGGAATCTAATTTTCAACCTCAGTTTACATTCATGTCCACTTCCTGATATTTCTCTTTTATCCTAAAATGACCTCGGCAACTGACTGAAACTCAAAACTGCACATTGTGTTTATCAAACCAAGAACTCAGGTACAAATTATACTTTTATCTTTGTATTAAAAAAAACCTCCACTCTAAAACATGCATTCAGCATTAGATGCGACATAGAAGTAAGCAGCCTGGCCACTCCCAGCATCTGTTCATCTTTTTACAGTAAGTACAGAGTTGAAAACCTGACTAGTTAAGGTCAATTGAAATATGTAATTAATATAGGTATACAGGAATATCTGTACAGAACCTAACAAGTTGTTGGTTGTTCTTGGATATTTCAGAAGTTTCTCCCTTTTCTATTTTTGTTTTCATTCCTGTTATTTGCTTAAAAAAATCAAGCTTTGGGTGTCAAATAATGCTAACATGGATCTGCATTTTATTTTTACTTATCTCTTGAGAGAGTTCTAGTTTCACATATCATTTCATTGGAACTCAGTTTGAATGGTCTGGGGAAAAAAGTTTTAGTATTTTCCATTTACCTATCTCCTCATTTACTCTTCAGCTAGCACTGACTAGGAATCACTTCTTAATGAGAACATAAAATAAATTTTATTCTAAAAGCAGTGTCAGTTTAATTCTGAATTGATAAAGTGAGCGTAGAGTTATTTTCTGAGAACAGCATAGCTAGCTTTTACATAAAATGAGCTGTTTCAACGTTCAACCATGCAAGGAGACAAAACTCATGCAGGAATGGATAATGAAGGACTAGGGTCCTCACCTAACACAGCTGTCGGCACAAGTGGATCATTGGGCACTGTAGGAAAACAAAGCTCATGAAGAAACACATTACCCTCAATCTGTGTATTTTTAAGAATAAAAACAATATACTTCAGAGTATAACCAAGTGATAACTAAACCCCATTAATTTTGTTACAACAGAAAAACAGAATGACTATATAGTTCCAGAAAGCATTCTGAATAAAAGAGGAATGAAAGGTAGTGATTTTGGACTTCAGAAATGTAATGAAAAAGGCAAAGAGATTCTTACTGAAATGAAATAAAGAAGACATTACATGCAATTTAGTTTTTGAAAAGGCTCCTCCTTCACTATTGTTCCTTTGCTTCACAATAAAGGCTCACTTTCATAGATCCAACTCCTTTTCTTTTAAGCCCAGCCTCTCATGTAATACTTGAATAGCTCATCTCAAAATAAAATGGTATTTCGTTAAAGTCTTCCAGGTAATTGAAAAAAAAATAAATAATGCATATTTAGAGTTAATAGCTTTTTTTTGTGTACAATGTCAAAGATATTGCTCTTAGTGAGTATAGGAAAATCACAGATACACAGATGCAGACGTTTGAATAGAATTCATAGAATTTTATCATTCGTTATCACAACTAGAACCATGCAAAGACAAATGCGCTGTTTTGGACAGAAATGGCAGAATCCAGAATTTGGTTTTGTTCCAATCTGGAACAAACAATGAAAACATCATATCTCCGTGACAAAATTGAGCTCCAGTTCTCAAGCAATCTGCCTTAAATTTTGTTGCATAGTAGGAAACCCCAGAAGCTCTGAAGGTTTTTTGCCCTAGAACAGACAATGGTCAGGAGAACTGAAACCTCCAACAACCAAAAATTCACATACCTAGCTAGGATGCTAGAAAACCATGACATCAAACTTCTTTGCCAACCAACCAGGACAGCTGTTGTTGCTGGGGCTTATGGGCTCTTGGCTTCCTGTTAGTCCATCTGGAAGGCTGCCCACATGCCTGGCAGCCCTGGGTCAATAATAGTCATGTAGGTTCCTGATGGATACTTTGCTTGGGATCCACCATAACTTAGTCCAAATTGAACTGTCTTTGCAAACCTACCTCTACAAATGTCAATGCCAATAAGACATCAAACTTTAGAGAATTTCCAAACAGTGCCAGCCAAAACTGTGCACAAAACCTCATGGGCTGATACCAAACTCCCATTTATAATTGGTTATGAGACACTTAAAAAATTAGCACTCTGCAGCTTGGTAAGTTTCAATAAACTGAGCAATAAACCCTCCTCCAAAATTCATTTCCCTTATAACATCCAGGAAAGAATTTAACAGCCTTCAGGGATGTATTTTGCTGAAGCATGGTAAGCAGTATGGAAGGCAGGAGAAGGGAGATGAAGTGCCATTTCCAATAGACAGCAATTCAGAAGCAGCTCAGGCTGCTCAGATCTGTTTAAAGCCAAGCCACAAGTACACGTGGCTATGAGAAAGTCAGGTTCCCACCAGCTCCATGGCAGAATTGTGTCCCTTCGGTAACTTACACACTAGTTTTGAGATAGTCGGAGTCTGCCAGTGGAGTATCTTGCTTTTGTGCAAGGCACAGTGCAGATGCTGGGAGGCAAGCGTGCTGGACAGTGGGAGCTATAACCCAGACACTTAGCAGTCAGAAACCCAAACTGCCAAACTTTGTCAAAATCAGACAGTTGGCAAGTCTACAAAAAAGCAATACAAATATAGAGCAAATTTGCAGATATATTAACAAGCTTGTTCCTAAACTTCACAAACAGCAATGAAAATTGTCAATGTTTCCTTCTGTTACAACATCCTTACTGCCAAAAGAAAGAAATTAATTTGGACCTCACATTATTATTCATTACAGACATGGTGTTATGCAGTAATAATTTAACATGTTGGTATTAAATATCCTCATGAGGGAAAACTCAATTTCAGATTTTAATTGAGATACTCTAGAAGTGCAATATTTTCCCTAGAACAAGTATCAATGCATACTGAAAGAACATGAAAATATTTAAATAATTTGCCACATACTAATAAGGATACATACAAACACCCCTACTCAAACTTTGGGTTTACCAGTGTTTCTAGAAAACCTGGCGCTTAACAATTTTCCTTAAAAAGCAGAATTGCCTTCTACAATTCACCTACACTCCAGAGTACCTATCACTGTTGTACTTACATCTGGGGCTGAAGTTATGAGAGTCCATAAATGTGATTGAAAGGGGATCCTCTGCATGCAGGGTGCTCTGGTCAGCGTAACTCCTATCCATCGCATTCACCATGTGTGTCATCTCCTGGCGGGTGGTCCCCATGGCATCCTTGCGCTTCTTTGCAAGTTTGCTGCCCAGCCAAAAAAAAAAACCCAAACTACCTTAATATTTGATGAACATTGATGTCTACAGCAATAATTACCTATAATCCCAAGTGACTGAAAAGTTTGGCTGATTTTCCTGTGCACACCTTTTCCAGCGTGAAATTGATAAAACTGCTATGAAAGAGTCGCGATCATGTTTTTTCTGTACACACGGAAATGCTCTAATGGAAGTGCTAACTTCTGTACCCTGGTAATATTTTTTTTTCCTGCAGAGTAATTACACTAATATAAACAAATTAGAGAATATAATTACATTTTAACTGAAATGATAAATAAGAGGCATCTGTGCATGCAGTTTTATCAACCATCTCCATTTAAATCTGTGTTTTGATTTTATAAATGGATAATTCATTCCCCTTGCTTGCCTTGTTAGGAAGAAATCATTTAACCTTTCAAATTACTTTGTTAGTAAAAAATCTATGAAATAACAAAAGAAACATAATTATTCAATATGGATTCATATTACCTTTTATGTTAAAAGTTGTTCTTCACATTCAGTACACAAGATACAACATGATACCACACTTTATTCCTGACACTGAATTTTGTTTTTTTAAAAAATAAACAAAACCCACCTCAGCACTCTACCCTTCATGGAATTTGGGAACATCTTAAATTTTGACATTAACAGTCTTACACTCTGAATGCATCAGTGTTAAATCATTAGCAACCTCTTCTGTACAAATAAACCCTCAAAATTAACAGCCAATGCCCTTAAAGTGCACGCTTTGGACATATCTCTCAATTCTTTCCTTTTGATGAAGACTTGGAAGTCATTTTTCACTGTCTCCAGAAGTCAGATGGAAGCAGACAATCTATTTTAATTATCGCTTACAACCTACTACTTTTAAAGCACATATCTCAAGTAGTAGGAAGCATGCAGAGCAGCATGAAGCGCACCTTGGTTCTGCAGGAACCTGTGACATATATTAGACTGTTATGAAATCTCAGTCTTTTCTCCCTGATTTCATCTGAAGCTCTGACTGCAATATAATAGATAACCAACCTGCTTATTTGGATAAATCTGACACCACGTGGGAGAGACACAATCATCACTGAAAATACTGGGTTCTTGAAAATGTATGCTTAAAACAGCTTAGCTTCACGAGCTTTTTCTGCGTAAAATATCATCAAATATCCTGTTAACTGTTTAGATAGTAGTTATCTTACATTTCTCTGAATAAAAGGACTGCCTGCTCTTCCTCTATTCTCTGATAACTTTTAATATTCTGTGCCGCACTCCAACAGTAGACAAAAAGAATGTTAGTGTAAATTATCCATCCATTTACTTGTTAAGTCCTGGGAACATCCACCAGAAAGGACCTACAGCACTCTCTAGGGCAGGAAGCACTTCATGTTTCTGCATATTCAAGTACATGTTAGAGGATTGTTTCTGAAGTTAATAGTCTTGGTCCACAATAAGGGGCCACAAAGTAGGCTACAGGTGGACAAAGTGCTCCTGAGAATAACAAAGATTCTTTCACTGATCAGATTCATCTCCCTATTTTGTTCCCCGCCTCCCTTTCTTTTCCCCACTGACAGGCAGACTGGTTGGAAAATTATTACTCAATAACCCCCTTGCTACAAAAATCCCAAAGGTGGTCTCTAAACCTATCATTTTTTCACCAAACCCTTGTGGTGTACATGAGTGTTCTGTGTGTATTGGTTGCTCAGTGAAAACTAAAAAAAAAAAACCAGTGACAGTTGGATGTCCCCCCCTAAAATGCTTTATTTTATACATTTACTCCACACATTCCTATTTACTTAAGAAAAGTTGGTTTAAATGATACTCTGATCGAACAAATGAAGACCATCAGAACTTCCAGAAACGAAACTGCTTGAGCTTTATAAGTGGTTCACAATACTATCGAAGCTTACACAAAACTGGCATTTCTAATTCAGACTGGTTTTTAAGTTTCAAAGCCTTTGAGATAGTATCCATACACTGAAGATTGCCTCTTTCTAATGCCACCTCAGAAACGGAACAAAAAGACTAGTATACGTCACCTCCTGATTATATCAAGCCCTTCTTTGAAGCATCATTTTGTAACAAAACTTGCTAGTTATGCTAAATAAATCAACAGCTATCCAAGCTTTCAAGTTATTAGCTTATTACAGTAGCTATTTTCTAATTCTTATGCTCTGCTTCAACTCCTAAAAAGGCCGATTGTGTTGTAGCACCGCAACCCAAAGCTGCCGGGAAATGGGAGGACAGCTTTATTGTTCGACAGCTCCTGGCTCCCTCAGGGTTTGACTTCTTCCTTTTGCTTTCCTTTTTTTCCTTCCCTCACTCGGCTAAAGGCAATCTCTACTTCAGGAGAGTTAAGTAAATCGTTATGTTAAACTACTTGAGGCTGACAGAAAGTGTAAATGATTCTTATTATCTGCTGAAGGATCCAGTTGGGTGAACCTGCGCAGGTGGGTGCTTCGGTGCGAGCTGGAGGGGAAAAGTGCTCCATTATAGGATGAAACTGTGTGGTTAATTATCTTGAGCTGAAGCAATTGTTATTTAACAAGGAAATTATAATTTGTCACAATAAACCGGAGAACGGCAGTTAGCTAAGCCAGCTTAGCTTATTTTTTTTTTTTAAGTTTTTTGAAGAAGTCAACTAATCTGCTTAAAAATGCAGAAGGGCATCATTATCAGACACGACTCATTCATCAAAGCACTTGAGTGCATTCTTAGATCCTCTCTGAAGTCAAGGGCTTTATGCATTTATTTAGAGTTAAGAATATGTATAACTGCTTTGTTCAATCACAGCCAAAACTGCTGCAGCCTTCACAAAAACTCATTTGGTCAATGCATATAAAAAAAAAGTCAATTTTGCTTCAACGAAGCAAAACTTTATGCAAACCAATGTCATCAAGTAAGATCCATGCTTTACAATGTGTATGCAAAGCCCCTTACAAGCAGCAAAAAATATTTCTGTTAAAACAAAAAAGGTTGGTACCGCCGAGGCCAATGTGTTGCTCTGCCATTTGTAGGGCAGAGACCTATTTTTAAAGGTCTGGCATCTGCCTACGATGTGCGTAAGAAAAGTGGTGCACAGGATCACTCCTGAACTGATACGCTAAGAACGAACAATTTGTGATTTACAAGCACAGTTCTCTAGCTAGGAAATGGGAAAAGAGGTTTTTTTCCTTGGTGTGATGTGTCGCTGTGAATCATAATGCAAATTAAATTATGATTACAATAAACCAAAATGATAATTATGGGAAAAACTTTAGCAAAAAGCAAAAGTCTCAATATACAGTTAGAAATACAATATCCCTTTAAAAAAAACAAGGCAAGAGTAGCAAAAACAATGATCCAAGCAATTTTTCAAGCCTGAGAATAAAGAAAGGTAACTATCAATAAAATTTCAGGAAAATTATAGACATTGGTTTTCTTTTTTAAAAAGGGATACTGCATCTTTAAAACATGTAAAATAGTAAGTCACCCGTATTCTACTTACAGATAGTAGGAGTAAGAATAGTAGCTCCTCCTGGCAAGCAAATCACAGACAGTGGAAAAAGAGAAGCAATGGTGAATGAAAAGCGTGACTCTGTCACATTCAATAAAGCAGAGAAATGTGCGTTTAAAAAAAAAAATTGAAAAATTCATGTTTCTTTGGTTAGCATTTCAACTTGCTCATGCACAAACTAGCTTTACTTTGCCATGCAATTAAAAAAAATACACTAGCATATAAAAATGATTTGTTTTTTAGAAAGATCACTTGAGAAAATTACATGCTGAGATTTCATTTATTGCCAAAAAATTTGAAAATTAAATGGATTGTGTATTTTCAACATGCAGTTCAGCATAATATAATGATTACCACCTAGATGTCATGACAAATGAACAGCTGTGTACAAATCTTGTGCAGTAAATATGCTTTTTACTTTTCAGTTACAAAAACTAAAGATTGCATTAATAAATACATTTAATCAGAAAACAAATTTCATGTCATTCATTTTAACATCTTTATCAGTACACAGGTGTATACATATATGTTTGTATGCGTACTATATGTAGCTATATGAGTACACACATTTTAATGAATACACGTTTACCACAGATATGTGTGTACTGACATATATACCACACATTTCCTGAATGCAAACATATGTTTTCTATTTTAAAATCTTAACAATTGGAAATGCTGATGTAGTCATGCTGAGCATTAAAAATATGGAAGGTAAACAAATGGAAGGAAATGAAGGACATTTGGAAACAGTCCAACAATGACTTAGAAAATAAAAATGGCATTGCTTGTTAAAGATGCAGTATCCCTTTTCTTAGCTGGTTTGATTACTCCAGTAAAACTCTGTAAGAGCTGTTAAGAGCTTCATTCGGCAAAACTTCAAACCAATTTGTATAAAATGATCAGGCAACGCCTAAAACATCTCAAGCTTGTGAACAAAACTGCTTAGTACTCCATTTTTCAATAAAATGTAATGCTGCATTTAATCAGATTGAGATAGCGATGGCTGTGCATACGACTTAATAAACCAATGAAAATGCAGAAACCATTGTTTAATTGACTTTTCCGTGTATTAAGCTGTGGTCAATTCAGGTACCAAAAGGGATACTACATAATGATCACCGAATATGTACACTACAGAAGATGACTCAAACAGATTGGTTTTCAGTCCCACCACAACTAAGTGAAGTGTGTTTATGTACGTGTGAATGTGTCAGGGGTTTTACAGCTGTTCCTGGCTTCATTATGTGAATTGCCCTGATTCACTAGATGGACTGAATTAATTCAGGTATACAAGGGTTTTCTACGCTTTTTGTAAGAAACCTCGACTAAAGCTGGTGTTAAAAAAAACCTGCCCACTTTCCCTAAGCAGGGGGGAGGGAATGGCACACCTATAACATACGCGATAGACGACCAATTAAACTATCATGATGAAAAATTGCCAAACATTAAAGATTCGTTAAACAGGTTAATTTCTCACCTATTTTGAATACAAAATCGTACAGGAGTTTAGAAATGTTACATGCTTTAGAATGATGATCAAGTATCATTCCTAAGAGGGTACTGCCTTCACAGGTTCAGAGAAGGGAAGGGGGGAAAAGGGGAAATTTTAAAATATCATTTCACGGACATGATTAACTTACTTTCATGAAACAATTCAACACTGAAAGTATAAGTCTAAAAGGACTCTGAATGCAAGAGGTAAAGAGGATAGGAAAAATGAACACGTCGAATTTTAAGCTTTTTTTTTTTTTTTTTTTGGTTACCTGCAAAACTAGTCAATCCCATCTGGAAGTGATTGACATTATATAGTGGCAGACAGTTTCTCTCTCTCACACACACATGCACACACACGGAGTCTTCTATTATGCATAAAAGCGGGCCACTGTAACACGCACTGAGAAGATGATGCTCCCCCAGCACATATCTTGTAATAACGTTACAAAATAGAGATTTCTTCCGGAAAGGTGAAAACCACCTTTTTTTGTTTTTCAAAAGTTGTGTAAATGAAGAAAATTGGCTGACTGTATGTCTTTTTTGCAGATGATGAGTTGGACCTTTTGCACGTGTGTTAATTCTCAACCACAGAGGTAAACAACAGAGAAAAGTAAAAGCACTTTTGGGAAAAACCACATATGTAGCTAACTAACACAGAACACTATAAGCATACCTAATGTTTCTAATGCAGACGTTTCTTCTCCAAGTTATATATCTCCAGGGATAATTGTAAAGAGGCAATAAATTAAAAAGATCTAATGCAAACCAGTAATTATAACATATAGAATGATCTTAGGTACAGTTTTAATTTTTTTCTTAATCTTTAAAAATAATAGCAAGCTGTATTTTAGAGAAACATTCGCAACATTTATAAATACGCTTTTCATTATGACTTTTGCAAAGGCAAAGGACCGCAATGCACAAACCACTGGAAGACAAAGGTCTCATTCTATCCAAGAGAAATCAGCTTGTGCCCTGCAAAAGGGGACCCGCCAGGCACGGGGTGCACAGAAAGACAGGAATTGGTTTCAATGCCATAACTACAGATTTACAGAGCCATATTATCAACTTTTATGCCATGTTAAAAGACTTGCAACTACTGGGGAGTCGAGACTTTTAAAAACTGACCGAGCAATAGGGTAACACAATTCACTACAGGTAGCAGCGTTTGGATGCAGATTTAGCATTGTACAATGCCAGAAGATGGCGATATTGCTTACTGTCTAAGAAAGCACTGAAAAAATTAAAATTCATTCAAATTAATACACTTTTAAACAATTTCATGCACTAAGGACTTGCTAGATAATTTTACAGTGATGTGGTATGACTTCTAAGAAAAAACTCCAGGTTTACAAGAGCATAAATAGAGGTATAAAATTACATTATTTTGCAAGTTGGATAACATACAGATACAAATAACTCATTAGAGTTGCATATAGAAAATCAAATTCATTAGGTGATTACAACATGAAAAGTGCAGTAAGCTATTATTTTTTTTCTTTGCTTAAAAAAAAACAGGCTCCATGAATTTCAATTCCACCCATTTTAATATTCTGTACATTCCTCCAACTGCAACTCAAAACTACTTGGAAATAAATATGAGAAAATTTACAGCTATTGGATCGCAAACATAAAGAAATCCTCTCCTTAAACCCATCATAAGAATCACAGCAAAACCAACGTGAAACACAAAGAACTCATCCAAAAACTGATGTGAGCTACTGGTTCTGAAAATTTTTTTTCAAGACCTGTAAAAAATACCCGCTTAGTTATTGTTTGATATAGAGAGAAAAAAAGAGGGATCAGCACAGATCATTTTCTTACCTTTTTTTGACGATCAATATGACAACAAGGAGAAGTAGGATGAATACCAGAATTCCAGCACTTATTCCTGCTATTTTCACCACTCGATCTGTTTGTTTAGCTGGATCCGGAATCACCTCAGGTTCTTCTGTTGCTGCTGCTAAAGGAATCAAAAAAGAAGTTGCTTAAATGTGTAAGCACTAGAGACAAGAAAATCATCATTGGTGATAATTTTCAAATATGTATGTGTTTTAATACAGTATTCAGAATGTAGATACATGCATCGTGTTTATACATTTACCCATACGTATATAGACACACTATAAATTTCAACCTATGTGCCATACATTTGCAACACCAAGTATATGACTATATATCTCTGTATAAAGGTGCATATATATATATATATAACTTCACATGTAAAGAAGTGTATATGCATCTGGATTTCCAAAGAAGTCACTGTATTACAAAGCAGAAGACAAAGCAGAGACAATCTATCAACTAAATCACCATTACTTCCTTGAATGTTATTTTTTCAGATATTAAATATGGAATATTTAACAATGACTAGTGAGATTAGGTTAACTCACAAACAGTAAATTAAACTCCCTTCCCAAGCCGCAGCCAGCACCCTAAACTCTAGTTGTCCTTCACCCAATTTCAGTCCACCTTTGTATATTAATTCACCTGCATTCCACTGGGAATTTTGTTTCTCCAAATAAGGCTGTCCACAAAGCCAAGCCTAAAGTCAGCAGTAGTTTTATTTCTGTTTATAGGCCCTGAGAAAAGAAAAATATCGCTCTTCTGCACGGAGATAAAACCATTCTGTAACACAGAGTGGGCTGAGGCCACAGGTTACAGCAGAGAGGAAAGCAGAATATATATATGAAAGCGCACAGCCATTCAGTCTGCACCTCTTTGCATCACAGCCTGGCGTGTAAAGTATCAGGAACACGGGGTTTTTCAGCCTGGCAAAAATATCAAAAAATATAAATAGGTTTCAGCCAGGGGTAAAATCCCATGAGGTGTTTACTTGTAAAACAGGAAACGGCTCTTCAGTTCTCTAGTTCTTACTTTCTCAGGCTGCGGCTTAGCACTTTGCCTCTCCCCTGCTCCCAGGCACGGATGGGTATGCGTGCTTGCTCTCTCTCTCCCTGACCTTTCTGCTCTCGCTCTCCACCCGGCATGCAGCAGATTCCACTTAACCTCTCCCCCCTCACTGCGGTTGCATGTGGAGTAGTTACAAGCTCTTGGTATCATCATGCCTATGTCCTTACACAAAAAACGTCCTTTACTCTGAAACTAGAAGGCTTCTCAACAGACCACCTAAACAAGCAAAACAAAAAATGAGGTGAAGTCATAGCAGTGAAAGACTATCACTCCCCCAAAAATCTGCTCCATGGTCCTTTCAGAAAGCCAGTGTAGTCAGCACCAGGGATGATCGGTATCTAATACGTTCTGGTTTTAACCATGTTACTCAGACCATTTCTATTCGGGTTCCATGTGCAGGAACCCATATTGTCTTTTGATGGAAGGGTCATGCTGATGCTTAAAATCACTCTTTATTACTTGTTTCTGTAACCTCCATCTCAGCAGTATCTGAACCACTTACTAACAGCTTACCCTCAGAACAATCTTCTGAGTTAGGAACGTGCTCTCTTCCAGACACCCATGCGAGAGCTAGGCAGACAGTGAGAGATCTGGCTGTGCTTTAATCATAAAATGTAATCATTATCATCATAAGACTTCATCATCATAATCATCTCTCTCCCCTACAGCTTGAACTCTGTCTGCTGAGAAATACTAAATACTTCCTCCTTTGTGTAAATACATGCCTGTATGCACATTTGCATACATAACCTACGTGGACTCAGTACTATACATTTTGTTTGTGTTATGTGTGCTGTTGAGGTGTCTAGGGGTAAGAGTCAGGATCGGGTACGTGGCGTGTGTATATGTAGCTGTGTATACGCAACACATACTCACACACAAGCTAGAATTAATGCCAGATACACAGATGATGCTGTCTGACATAGGAAACGACAGGGATGACTTTTGAGGTGGAACTAAAAGAAGAAGGTGTTCAAGATTCTCAAAGCTTAAAATGAATCAACTCCTAATCTGCTATTAGCTGAGCTGGATATGTCAAACACGAATGAACATTTGATAAGTAGTAGAGCCAAAAGGCCAAACAGTAGAGTCAAAAGACCAATCAAAGCTAAACTATAAATGGCTCTACATGCTAACGGGGGAAAAAACCTCATGTGTGCTGTATGGGGTACTGAGAAACAGCAAGGACGGGGGAAGGGTAGAGAGGGGAGGATGCAGGAGCAGGACAGTCACTATGTCCGGAATTGCCATGTATAAAACGTGAGCACAGCTGGGTAGCTCTGACCTTGCAAAGGTAAGAACTACTCAAGCTGCAAAATAACTAAGGCTTGAGCAAGAGATTTAGTTGTGTGGATGGAGATTTAAGGCGAGCTCTTTGAGAGATTTGAAAATACGAATCACAAGGATTGGATGTGACCTGAAGATGCACTTCAAAAGTTGAAGGCTCAGAAATACATCCAGAAGTACAGGCTTTGAGCCTTGATCAGGACAGTGGTATTTTCACAGGAGTATTAGTCAGAGATGAGAGAGTAGAGGGGAAAAATGAGAGACCTGTCTCACACTTCCCTGGAGAAAGACAGGACCCTTATTGCTTGATAGAGCAAACTGCAATATAGGTGCTTCTCAGAGTCATATTTAAAATTATTGCGCGGCCACTCACAATGTTATTTCATTCAGAAGTTACGTTAGAGAAACAACTATAATCTTCTTTGAAAATCTGAAGGAAAGGTTACTGAGGGAGTTTACTTATTCACCTAACTTAGGCACTGGTGTTTTATTACATATTCTGTAAGAAATGATTGAGTTTGGACCACCAGTAACTGTTCAAAATACAACTCTCTGTCCAAGTTTTTAGAACAACAGTGGAAGGCCAGGAGGATATCAACTGCTTGTCCATTTATTCTGGCTTCTTTACACTAAGAGGTTTGAAGCAAGAGACAGTAACTCATTTTATGAGCTTTAATGCTACTTATGAGATAAAGCTGGTGCCCACTAGAAATGTACCACAGAGTCCTAAATTAGTGGAGAAAAATTACATTGAATAGTCATAGACTAAGCAAGCATATAACCAGTGGTTGAGCCTCCTATATCCAAAATGCTAAAATCTACGGGCAAAACGCTACTCCTGTCCCCAGTATCAACAGAAAAATTGCCTTTGACTTAAATGAAGGCAGGATTATGACATGTATGTTTCCAGTAACAGATAATATATGCATTCTCTAGACTAAATGTTACATTTGGGGACTATATGAAAGCAATTATAGCTATAAATCACACTGTAATCTATTATTTATGTGTATGTGCATTGTATGCAATAAAATGTACTATTTTGAGGAAGCCATTGAAATGTATCATAGAATCATTTAATGAAACTTATGAATTTGAAAGCATTTCATATTATTTGTGTTTCAATTTTGATAGTTCAAAGTGTATTGTAATAAGAATGTGTGAGATTACACATACACAACCGAAAGACAAAAACATAGAAACCTTGTGCCAATGTGTTAAACCTATGTGTATAAGTCAGTGTATCCTGGTTGCTGATTGTACAGGGACTACAGCAGCCAAAGAAATTCTGTTTACTCTGAGAAATTGCTCTTTCTATCCTCTAGACTACAAGACTGTCAGGGGTTTTTTTTGTGACTCTGAAGTGGCTCTTTATAGGCTGAATTGCTGTTTTTTGCCAAAGCAACTCAACTAACTAAGGCTTCACCAAGGTCAAATCTTGCCTGACCAACCTAGAGGCCTTCTATGACGGACTGACTACATCAGTGGACAAGGGAAGAGCTGATGTCATCTATCTGTACTTCTGTAAGCCTTTGACATGGTCCCCTACAACATCCTTCTTTTGAAATTGGAGAGATACAGTTGTTAAAAATTGAATTATTTTGGTAATTGGAGTTAACTACTGTATATTTCTAAATAAGGTAAAAAATGGTCTAAAATTATTTAAGTTATAGAATCATATAATGGTTAGAGTCAAATTGTGAAAAAAATAGTAATGTGCAAGGATATTGTAAAAATTAACACTTCATGATAGGTCTATTAGAGTAAGGCTGGCCAAAGTGGCTACATCAGTGGACAAGAGCAGAGCTACAGATGTCATCTATTTGGACTTCTGTAAGGCCTTTGACATGGTCCCCCACAACATCTTTCTCTCTAAATTGGAGACACATGAATTTAATGGATGGACTGTTCAGTGGATCAGGAATTGGTTGGATGGTCACATCCAGAGGGTACCGGTCGATGGCTTAATGTCCAGATGCAGATCAGTGACGAGTGGTGTCCCTCAGGAGTCCATACGGGGACCAGTACTGTTTAATATCTTCATCAATGACATGGACAATGGGATTGAGTGTACCCTCAGCAAGTTTGCCGACAACACCAAGCTGAGCGTTGATAAAATAATGTGATCCAGTGATTCTGGCTCTGCACATTGCCAATAATAGTCATCACAGAAGAAGTAGCTTTCCTTGTTTTCATAGACACTTAAGAACAATATTTAATCAGTTTACTTCCATGATCAATAGCATGAAGTTCAACTGTGAACAGCACTAAATTAGACTAATTAGACTCATCGCAGCCTACAGCTTCCTCACGAGGGGGAGCGAAGGGGCAGATGCTGATCTCCTCCCTCTGGTGACCAGTGATAGAACCCGAGGGAACAGCATGAAGGTGCGACAGGGGAGGTTTGGGTTGGATATCAAGAAAAGGTTCTTCACCGAGAGGGTAGTCAGGCACTGGAACAGGCTCCCCAGGGAAGCGGTCACAGCACTGAGCCAGGAGCTGAACTTGATGATCCTTATGGGTCCCTTCCAACTAGGGCCATTCTATGATGGGTAACACTCTCAGGGATAGTAAAATTCAAAACAGTTGGTGAGGTAGAGTCCATCTTATTCTCATAATTTCCTGAATGCACCTAATTATTCTAAATATTTTATAATGTTTTAAATCAAATACACCTAAAAATCCAACACTCACTTCTAAAATTGGGCGTTTGCCTAATATTCACACTTAATTCCGAAAGTATACCATGGCATAAGGAATCCA